CCCGCGGGCAGCGGACAGGGTTATCCGCTGCCCACGCGCTCCGCGGCTTGGCTCTGCTTTGCCCCCCCGTCTCCCTGGCGGTCAGTTTCAGCAGCGGCTGAATCTGGACGCCAGTTCCGACTTACATACAGATTCAACTTAAGAACAAACCTACAGTCCCTATCTTGTATGTAACCCGGGGACTGCCTGTACTGCAAATAGAGATAAAATTACTTTTCTAGTGAGCTATTGTAGGAGGGTCAACACTTAATTGTCTGTGGAGTTTGGTTGTGATCAACCTTGTAAAGGTTGATCAGAAAGCTAAAATGTATAAATATATTGCAAGGAAAGTAGTGTAGATAATCACAAGTATCTGCATCTGTAGATGCAGATGCAGCTATCCATGGCTCATTTTTGTGGATGCAAATTTTGTGTGTAGAACCCTGCAAATTTGCAGATATCTGCGGATGTGGATGCAGTTAGTCATGGCATATTTCTGTGGATGTAAATGCTCTAGGCATTTTGAGAACGTGAGAAACGTCTCATCAGCCACCAATTTGCTTCCCAGCCCTCTTGGGGCTTTTGACTCACTTTTGTGCCATTTAAATGACAGTCCTTGCTGCACACTCCAGTATCTGCTCTGAGAAATCATGGATCCTAGACTTCTCTTTCATGGTGTGTTCAATGGACTTAGTACATCACACATTGCAGCAGAGCTACTTATGCACTTAGTGTCAGAGGAAGATGATGTGGATGTGAATGATGTGAGTGACAGGGACAGCAACGAAGTGACATTGCATTGGGCTGTCACAGAGCACAGTGTAGAGTAGAGCATCACTTTTGGGCTAGGAAACCAGCACTGAGTGGTGCGATCACATTGTCTTGCGGGCATGGGATGAAAAGCAGAACTTGAGGATGTGTAAAGCAACCTTCTTGGAGTTATGTGCTGAGCTGGTCCCTGAACTGTGGTGCAAGGACACCCAAATCAGAGCTGCTTGAAAGGTAGAGAAGCATGTTACGATTGCTTTGTGGAAGTTGGCAATTCCCAATTGCTACTCTTAAGTTGCAAATCAGTTTGGAGTAAAGAAATCTACCATTGATGCAGTACTTATACAGGTGGCAATAAATCACATTTTGCTGCGTAGGACTGTGACTCTGGGAAATGTGGATGACATTTGCTGGCTTTGCTGGGATGGGTTTTCCAGACTGTGGGGGGGCAATCAGTGTCACAGAATACCACAATTTAAAGAAATATTTCTCAGAGGTGCTTCAAATGTTTGTGGATCACTGTGGGCAGTTCACAAACATAAATGCGAGGTGGCCTGAAAAGGTGCATGATAAGGATGTGAAAGGTTAACCTGTTAAACCCTTAATGGATGATGCTTACTGGTTCCAGTTAACTGGTGGGAGCTGGAGCGGCTCCACGCCTGCTATAGATAAGGGCTGCTCCATCCCCAGTGGGTCACCCACTGCAGACAGGGGCCTTCTGCAGTCATCCAAAGCAGTCACTGACTGCAACATGCCTGGGCCTGCCATGGATAGGGCCAGGTTTAAGCAGCCCCTGTCTGCGGTGGGGGAGTGTTCCAGCCCAGCCTGGGTTGGGGAGGCTGTTTCAACCAAGCAGGGCTGGAGTGGCCTTCATGCCCCCTTTTAGTTAACCAGTTAAACATCATGTTTAACTGGTTAACTAATTAAATGGGATTTTACATCCCTAGCACATGATGCACACATCTTCAGGAACATTGGGCTATATAGAAAGCTGCAGGCTGGGACTTTCTTTCCGGACCAGAAAATTACAAAGGAGGATGTGGATCTCCCATAATGATCATAGGTGACATGGCCTACCCCTTACAGCCCTGGTTCATGAAGCCTTACACAGGGCACCTGGACAGCAGTAAGGAGCAGTTCAGCAACAGGCTAACCTGATGCCACCTGGCAGCTGAATGTGCTTTTGCTAGATTGAAAGGGAGATGGAGATATCTGTATGGCAGGCCGGAACATTTGGAGGATCATATCCCCAAGATGGTGGCTGTAAGCTGCTGTTTACATAATTTGTGTGAGAGTAAGGGTAAAGTGTTTGCCTGTGGGTAGAACACTGAAGGACAGTGCCTAAGCCACAATTCGAACAGCCAGACGCTTGTGCTGCCAGAGGAGCCCATAGGATGGCTATCAGTGTCAGGGAGGCTCTGAGGAACTACTTTAACAATGAGGAACACTAACATTTCTGTGTGTTGCTTCCCTGCTTCCTCAAACTGTTCATCCTGAGCAAGGCATATCCCATGAAACCAAACAATATTACAGGCTTCCACAGAGGCCAGAGTAGTTGGTGTGGATTGTGTCACACAGAATAAACTTATGGAAACCTGCATCACATTTGTCTTCATTAATCTCTTTCAATCACAGTCACACATGTAGTATGAATACTTGTTGGTAAGGAATGGTTAGGGTGATTGACAGCTGGTCATTAACGCAACCATGAGGTTTTCCAAAGTCACAGCTGCTGTGATGGAGAGTGGAGTGTGCTGGAAAAAAACCTTTGCCTAACTCTGAAAATGAGTTAATGGGCGTTGAGGCAGGGTTGCTGGATACATAATTCTGCATTTGTTGATAGGGTGGCCTTTGGTTCCGTTCACTATGCATCTTGAAAAGAAACTTCAATTTCTCAGTTTGGTCTTCCATGAGCTTTAGTATCGCTTCTCGGCCTTTTGGCTAAGATCATGTGCTCAATGGCTTCTGTTCTGACTTATCTCCCTGACTCTTCTTTCCCCCCTTTTCTCTGTTTGAAATGTTGAATGCTACAAAATATCCTTGACTAGATCCTCTGCTGTCCTCCAAGGTTTTTTTCTTAGCTGGCAGAGTCTGTCTGCAGAGGAACGTGTCTGTCTTCTTAAGGTCTGATCTGGAAAAGTAACCGTTAACTATAGAGTGACTGTACTGTTCCTGATAAAGATTGTAATGTTTCAAAAATATACATGTCTCTGAACAAAATTGGCCATTCTTCTTCTTACCCTACAGGCAAACACAGGTCTCTCCAGTCACTCTGATCACGGTGAATTTTAAAAGGAGGGATGGAATGTTGGGTATGGGGTCTCAAGAACTTACAGTTTGTGCTTGTGCAGCAGGTGTACATGGAAACAATTGGTAATAATCCTACATGGGTCCACAGGTTGTCATTACTTTGG